CCGACCCCCGCCGCCTCACAGCGGCTCCCGGAGGGGCTCTGTTCGCGTTGGCTGAGGTGGCCTTCAGCCGCCGGACATCCTGCGGCCTGGCACCCTGGGCCACCACCAGCCCCGGCCCCCCCCCTCCGCCCCGCTCCGGCAGCGAGGCCGTGCCCGGCGCCCTCCCCTCCGGCCCCCACAGCGCTCACCGCTGAAGCAGAGGTCGCGGAGCTTGGAGAGAGCCACCGTGGGTTCGCCGAGAACCTCCTGGAAGTCCGCGATCCTGAGGGGGAGCGGAGCCGCGACCGTTATAACGCTTGTTTACCGGCGCCCCCCCCTCCTCCCTCGCACCGCCCCCGGGCCCAGCCCTTCCCACACGGCCCCGGCGGGGGACGGGCCCCGACCCTCACCTGCTCTGGTGCAGCCGCGACATGGCGGCCCCCGCGCACCCCTGCCCCGCGCGCTGCCCAACCGCTCCGGCTGGAAACCCTGGCCGCGGGGGTGGGCGGGGCTAAAGGACCCCGCCCTTCGGGAGACCCCGCCCACTCACCGCGGTGGCTCCGCCCCCCTCGCCCCGGCCGCCTTCAGGGAACCACAGGATGGTTTGGGTTGGAAGGGACCTTAAAAGACCATTGAGTTCCAACCCCCTGCCCTGGGCAGGGACACCTCCCACCAGACCAGGTTGCTCCAAGCCCCATCCAGCCTGGCCTTGAACCCCTCCAGGGATGGGGCAGCCACAGCTTCTCTGGGCAACCTGGGCCAGGCTCTCACCACCCTCACAGCAAACAATTTCTTCCCCCGATCTCATCTCAATCTCTCCTCTTCCAATTTAAAACCGTTCCCCCTCGTCCTATCACTCCACTCCCTAATAGAGTCCCTCCCCATCTTTCCTGAGCTCCTTTAAGGACTGGAAGGGGCTCTAAGGTCTCCCTGGAGCCTTCTCTTCTCCAGGCTGAACCCCCAACTCTCCCAGCCTGTCCTCACAGCAGAGGGGCTCCAGCCCTCCCAGCATTTTCTTGGCCTCCTCTGGACCATCCTCAGAGCATCCTCCCGGTGTGCTGAGCTGCACCGGGGGTTGTGCTGCACAGCGTGCCCTCTCACAGCACCACCATTCCACCCGGTGTCTCCTCGGCCGGGGCTGGAATGCCACCACAGGGACTCCCCTCTCTGGGCATCCAGCACCGGCTGTACCATCCCACCTTGGAAAACGATGCCCACCTCAGAAAAGACCCCACAGGCAGCAGCAGCCAGCCCCTGGCCAGTGTTACCGCAAACCAGCAGATAAGACTTCCTAAGACTCAATTTAAAGTTGAGAAAGCATTCTTTCCTGCACTGCTGGGCTCACAGGGGATGGCTCCTCCTATTGTGCACACCAACTGCTGTTGTCAAATTAAATTTATACACAACAGGTATACACAGTCAATGTAATTCCAAGAAAACATTAGCATATTCATTATATTTCTGAGAATTCATTTAAATATAATAATAAGCTTTTCGGCATACATAGCTGTGCCTTGTGGTGGTCCTCATTTTGAGTGAGGGTCAGTTCTTCCTCAATCTTCATCTTCTTCACCTGTTCCTTTGGCTCACTTTTCATGTTGGCAAAACATTCTAACTACTTAATTGCTCATTAAAACTAACGATCTCCCTGCTACAACCGGTCTATCAGACAATGTCCATATTTATTGCACCCCTGTCTTAGGTCACCATGTTCTCAGGGTCAAGTACATCCTTTCTTATCTTACTAAGTCACAGAATCAGAATATTCATGGTTGGAAGGGACCTTTGAGATCGAGTCCAACCACAAAAAAAAAACAAAACCCAAAAACACAAAAACCGAAAAAAACCAAAAACCACACACCCACACCACACCCACCCACAGACAGACAAAAACCACGAATCCCAGGCACTAGAGCATGCCCTGAAGTGCCGTGTCTACACGTTTCTTAAATACCTCCAGGGATGGTGACTCCACCACCTCCTGGGCAGGCTGTTCCAGTGCCTGACCACCCTCTCAGGAAAGTAATTCTTCCCAATATCTAATCGAAACCTCCCCTGCCGCAACTTCAGACCATTTCCTCTGCTCCTTTCATTATTCCCTTGGGAGAAGAGGCCAACCCTCACCTCTCTACAACTTCCTTTCAGGTAGTTGTAGAGGGCAATGAGGTTCCCACTCAGCCTCCAAACTAAACATGCCCAGTTCCCTCAGCCTCTCCTCGTACTACTTGTTCTCTAAACCCCTCACCAGCTTGGTGGCTCTCCTCTGGACACGCTCCAGCAGCTCAATATCCTTCTTGTAGCGAGGGGCCCAGAACCAAACCCAGCCCTCGAGGTGAGGCCTCACCAGTGCCCAGTAGAGAAGCACCATCACTTCCCAACTCAAGTCCTTGAAACCATTTGGGATGGTTGCTAAAATAGCTACATTTCTTCTCTAAGAGAAGATTCTCTACAGTTTAACCGTTTATAAACTACATAAAATCTGCCTTAGGTATCACCAGGGCTCCCTGCCTGCCGGCCACCTGCCCTGAGGGGAGCTGAGGGGAGCCCACAGGCGGTCCCGCTCGCCCAGGCGACGCCTGGGGCCTGTGCAAATGGCAGCCGTGAGGGCGGCCTGAGGGAATGGCGGCACCGCGGCCATCAGCGTGTGGAGACGCGGGGCCTGGGGTTTATTCCGGTGGCGGCCACGGCCCTCGGAGAGAGGGGGGGGGAGGCGGGGACCGGGTGAGGTGAGGAGCCGCGGGGAGGCCACCGCCCCCGCGCCGTGACGTCACGCATCAGCGCAGCGACGTCACGGCCGCCAAGCGTTCCGGCCCGGCCGGTGTTTCCGGGAGGGAAAGCGGCGGCACTTCCGGTGCGGGCGGCCCGGCTGGCGGAAGTGACGGCGGGGTTTGTTGACAGCGGAGGCCGCGGCGGGGGGAGCGGGGCCCGAGGAGGCCGCCGAGCCCCTGGCCCGCCCCGGGGAGCGGCGCCGGGACCAGCCGGGACTCCCGCCGCCCCCCATCCGCCGCGCCGGGCGGGGGCCTGGCGCCAGGTGAGTGCCGGCGTCCCCTTCCCCAGTCACACCCGCGGGGGATCGCCCTCCCCCGGGGGCACCGGGCCTGGACACCGAGGCGGGAGCGGGAGGTGGGGGCAGAACCGTCGCCTCCGGCAGCGCCGCCCGGTGCCCCGCGGCGGAGCCCCTCATACCCTTCCCGGGACTACCGGGAGCAGCCGGTCCGGGAGGAGCCCCGGCGCTGCCCGGGCGAGGTGACCTCCGGCACCGGGAAGGGAAAACCGCCCCGTGTCGGGGGAGCGGTGGCGGGTTGGAGTTTGTGGCCAGAGCTGCCCGCCGGGCGGTGGAGCAGCTGGTGGGGCTGTGCGAGAGCGGGACAGACCACGGCGGTGGCGGATCCCCGGCGCCCCGGGAACGGCAACCCAGGGGCGGGCGGGCGGGGGGTGTCCTGGTGGGCAGGTGACCTTTTTTGGAATGAAAATCCGGGCTATAATTCAGTCACCCGAAGGAGCATCTTTATCACAGGCAGGTACAAAGATCAGCGTGTTCCCAGCACGAGTCGGATTGGTCACGGTGCGGGTCTGGGCAGGGTGATGAGTTTGGCCGTTGCCGGCTTTGCTGGGCCACAGAACAGCTCGATCCCCTCCCAGCTCAGTTCCCCAGCAGGGACAGGCAGGGATGGTGTTTCCCCACACCAGGGGCAAGGACCCATCAATTAATAAAAGCCGCGATGCACGGCTGCGAGATGCCAGCTAAAATGACAACGCACTTTTCCTTCGGAACGTCACCTGCGCCAAACTCTGCCTTTACGTTACGTTGGTTGTTCTGAAGTCGCGGTAATCGGGTCACGCCGGTGCCTGGGGTTTGCCCTCTCCTCGGACAAGCCCCCGATGCTGGAAAAAGTCAGCTTTGCCAATCGTTTTTTGTAGCAACGGCGTCAACGTTATGTCGTTGGCGTGGAGCCACGGTGAGTCAGGCTTGGCTTTGGGCAGCCGCCTGGAGAGAGAGAGAGAAAGAGAGAGAGAGACTGGGAGAGAAGATGGTTCTGAAGTCCAAGGTGGAGAATATTGGCACAGACGGCCCTGGGAGTGGTCCCAGGCTTTGCGTGCCAGCGCAGCGTGAAGTGCCATAACAGTAGGGATGTAGCCTACAAATGAGCAATATTTGCCAAAGAGGGTGGCTGGATCTGGAAGGCTGGTGATGGGGGAGAGCAAAGCTGCACATTCTGCAGCTGCCTTCGGGTCCGGGGTTGGTGGGAGGTGCTGTCAGCTCATGGAGAGGGCTGCATCTGGGGGTAGTTGGGTGTACAGGCTTTTAAACGCCTGCTTCTGTCTCTCCAAGGGGCTCAATTCCTTCGTGCATTAAGGTGGAAGCAAATCTATTAGAGGAAATAAATTGGAAAAAATATTGGCAGCTGCAGTTGTAGTCACTCCTCGATTCCTGCGCTTGACTTTTCGGCGTGTTTCACATATATCTGTCTTTGACCCTTCGTAACCACACACACAGTAGAGCTCGTTGCCCATCGTTGGAGAGCGCTGGTGACAGGCTGCCAGGCAGGCAACTTGCTGATCTATTGCCTGTGGAAAGCTGCCTGAGGATAACCATTAGGCACATGTTAATGATTTGTCAGCATCTCTACTTCATTTATTTTTATCAACACAGTGAGCTCATAACTAGAGGCAATATTGATCAGTGCAGCTACTGACACTCTCACTTAAATCCCTTCCTGCTCACGTGTCATGTCTTGAGTCTGAGGAGGGGGAGGCTGGGCTGTGTCCTGTCCTGTATGAAAGGTCACAGCAGCAGCTCTGGGTGCTATTCAAATATCCCTAATAAATCATGAGGATGAAGGCTCTGCTTTGGTGCTGTCTTACTGGGACAGTTTAACTGTTTTCCTCTATATTAACCTTCTATATGGGATTTTGGTGGTGGATCACGGGGAGCTCAGAAGTTAAAGGGCAGCTGATTTTCTCCAGGGCTGGCATCAACCGGTTACATTGTGCTGGTCTCAGCAGAGGGGGAGCAGGGGATTGCCAGAGCCACAGGAAGGCAGTCCTTGCCCTTTAGTGCTCTAAGCTGCTTGGACAAGTCCCAAGCACTGGCCCTTTCCAGCTGCACGTGATAATAGATTGTCAATGCGAATTTGTTTTCGAGTTCTCTTGCCATGGGTAGTAAACAGTGGAAGAACACTGGCTGCAGGGACCTCCCGTCTGATGGCACAGGGGAATGGGTAGGGACAGCAGAACACGTTTCCCAACTGGTTCAGATCTTCCTGTTGATCTTGCCTTTCTGGAAGGATTTTCTCAAGCAAGCTCCAGGCAAAATCCACGAGAGGGACTCGTTCTGGAGGTGAAGCCGATTAGTCTCCAAAGCAGACACAGTGCAGAGTGCAGGACAGCTTCCTCCCACCTGCATTCCCCAGCCAGCGAGATGATACTCTGTGCTCAGTGGCCCTTTTCATCCTTGACTTCTCTTGTGACAGACCTGCAAAGGGGAGGGCTGGGGATTATGCCAGAAGAGCAGGTTACACCCTTTAAACTGTCTCTGATCAGGATGTTAAGTACAATTTTGGGGATTGCTGAGGTTTTGCATTTGTTTTATTTTCCTCAGCATCTGCTTGTTTGGAGACTTTTTGCCTCTTGAGCCAAAACAGTCAGAGAACCTGTCTGAGATCCCCACTGGAAAGGCTGTTGAAAGCTGTAGGTCAGAACACAGTGGGTCAGAAGGAGTTTGGGGTTAGAACGTGATCCTGCCAGTTGCCTGCAGGTACAGTTCCCAAAGGCGCTCATAAGGAGGAGAAACTATTGATCAAATTTAAGTCAAAAGCCAAAAGACAAGTCAAGTTCATCCCCTGTGCCTGCTTCTGCCAGTTCTGATGCTAGAATGAGATTTGGCCCAGGGAGAGGAGGCCTGGGGTGGACGTACCACAGGAGCCATCCAGCACGGCCCTTCCTCCATCACTGGGCGAGGAGCTGTTCTGCTGATCTGAGATTTTTGAGAGGCTTCTTTCTATCTTGGGTTAAGTCCTTGGCCAACTCTTTGTCCCTGGCACGGAAGCACGCCCTCAGGAAAAAAAAAAAAAAAAAGAATTAATAAAGCACAGAAGGAAGGAAGAAAAGAGCTTTGATTTCCAACTTGTGCCGCCTTCATGTTCACATGGAAATCCATTCTGCAGCACAGGGAGGCATCAGAGGGCTGGGAGCCTGGGTGGCCGGGCAGGCTCAGTCACAGCTCTGCTCCTGTCACCCACAGAGACCATTCGGTGCCTGAATTTAAAGAATTATCTTGTCCACAGCCTTAACTGATCCTTCGTACGGGTGTCATCGCCCAGGCAGTGGCTGAGCAGAGCATGTGAAAGGGGAGCAGGGAAGGTGCCAGATCCACCCTGGTGCCTTCGGGGATGGTGATTAAGGTGTGAAAATGGAGTTAAACTCTTCCACCTTGTACTGATGGTGCAGGGATGAAGGAAAGACAGAGCACTGAAGGCTTCAGAGAAGCAGAGAGCTGGAGACACAGACGAGTGTCCCAATCTTTGCAGCTGCAGGATAAAGGTCAGAAATGGAGTATAGTTAAGGGCAACAACTTCCATGACAACAGCTGCTCAGCTGTGGCACAGAGGAGAGCAACCAACTCCACAGCACCCATGTTCTCACTCCAACAGGGATGTACTTATTGATAAGACACAGGTTTTACATCAAAAAATAAACATTTCAATGCAATTTTTTTTGTGCCCATGGAAATATATAGAAGGGTTCACCTTAGAGTTGCTTCTAATGTGATGTGACCCTTTGTAAGTGAAATGGCATTGTTGGTCTTCAGTCACTGCTAAATGCTTCCAAGGCTCCAGCAAGCCCTCCCTCAGTGCCAGCGAGCGAGTTTCAGGACTAGAGCCATGAGACTTTTCAAATAAGAATATGGACAGGAATAGCATCCCCTAATTACTGCCTCACCCATCCTTCTTTATCCTGTACTAAAAATGAAGAAGGGCAAAAGTATCTTACCTTTTTCCAGGTCAGTCACTCGTACTTTTTTGTGACAGATTTGAAATTGTTTGGGTGAGTGTGTCCCAGGGAGCTACAGGTGCAGGTGTCCAGCATAACCCTTGCTTTCTGCTGCGCTCAAAGTGAAGCCAAATCAGTCTGTGCGTTTCCCTCCGGCATCCCATCCACTTCATGCTCTAGTTCAAGGACTTGTGTGAAGCTTCTGGCTTGGTGCTACAGAAAGACATTTAGCTTCGACACGAAATTTCACTTGGAACGATGGCAAACAGAATGACAGGCATGAGATACGGGGCCACCAGATGCCACTGGGGCTGTCCAAAGGATCATCCCAACAGTAAATTGTCTGGTGGTTTATCCAGCCCACGCCGAAGGAAACCAGGCCATGCGGTTTCTGCCACTTCCCTTTCAGAGGGCCTTTGTCAGCCAGATAACCCCGGCCATGAGGAAGCATTTTCTTGCTGTGTAGCCCCATTTCCAAACACGTTTCGTGTTAACTCATTCCCACAGTGTCCCTGGGGGTGGGGATACCACGCAATTAAGGGCATCCTGCCAGAGAGGCCAAAATGCTGCAGGTTCTTTTGAGGTCAGCAAGTGATGGGCTGTAAATACAACTACCACCATCCTGCTGGTGCAACAGCTTTGCCAGCCGCTTGCCAATGGACCTTTCTCAATGCATCTTCCCCCTCCCCCTTATAGGTGTCCTGATGTCCCTGTAAATTCATCCTGGAACTTCATTTGAGGAAAGGATCTACTGAATCAAAAGCTTCCTTCTGGCTCTTCCCCTTCCCATAACTTCCCTCAAGATGGCATCCGACAGCCCCGAGTCGCTGATGACGTTGTGCACAGATTACTGCCTTCGCAACTTGGAGGGGACTCTCTGCTACCTCCTGGACAACGAGACTCTCCGGCTCCATCCCGACATCTTCTTGCCAAGCGAGATTTGCGACAAACTCGTCAATGAGTACGTTTCAGGGCTGTGGAGAAGCAGCCGTGTGATTTGGGAAGGAGCTAAGAGCTCGAGGAAGGGAGAGTATAGTTCTCTAGAAAGATGGGAAAGCGGGGGAAATGGGAAAGAATTCATCGGGCTGGGCTTTTTTCCCAATGATCCTCATATTTGAAATAAGGATTTGCATTAAGTTCAGAAGGAAGTGTCCCCAGGAGGTGTTGTACTGCTATAAATCATTCTAGTTTCTGTGGAAATCACTGTTTCCACACAGGTAAACCCAGACTGAAACAGTCAGTGCTTCTTCTAAGAACATCAATAAGCAACAAAGGAGCCTTCCTATTTCCCACCACCGAAGCATTACAGCTCGCTCTCAAACCAGAGAGCTAAGAGTGCAAAGTGCTAACAGATGTTAAATTTTAAGGCTGCTGCTCCCATAGCTTTACAAAGCAACCTGTTTCCAGGGATTTATAATTTGGCTGTCACAGTCTCTCTTGGCTGAACTCCTGCCCACAAAGTCTGGCAGAGAACCTTGGCCGGCTGATTTTCTGAAAATGAAAAATCAAATTATTAGCTTTAAACAGCTAGGGGAAAAGGAATCCCAGAGTCTGTGCTTGCCAGAATCCAGTTTGCTCACACACACGTGACCTTGCACAAATCTTTCCCTGGGACTTTCCTGAGGATTGTTAGTTCTGTGCAAGAAGTAGTAATAGGGGAGCTCCCGTTACCCCAAAGGCTATTCTGGATGATCAGGAGGGACTCTGCGTGTGCACAGAGCCACATTTTCTCATAACCAGTGAGGGTGCTAGAGCTGTGACTGAGCCCTTGTGTCACCCTGTGCTAACGCCATTGCCCCAATACAGGTACGTGGAGTTGGTGAAGACGGACAGCATCTTTGAACCCCATGAAAGCTTCTTCACCCTGTTCTCAGATCCCCGGAGCACCAGGCTGGCCCGGATCCACTTGCGGGAGCAGATTGTGCAGGACCAGGACCTGGAAGCCATCAGGAAGCAGGTGGTACTGCCCTGACAGCCTCCAGCTGCCACTTGGCATAGCAGCACTGCTGCTGCACGGGCACCAGATAGAATCCCAGGCTCCAATCCCTTAACCAAGAGATTCCCAAGACTCCATCCTTCCCCTGCCAAGTTTTGTTTGGGAGAACCTCAGCTTCTCCTTTCTCAGCTCCCCACGTAGGGAACGGGAAGGGACACTGGTCAAGTTGGGTGGTATGTGGTCTCAGGCTGTCCCTGTGGGAGGTGTTGCAGCAACCATGGTGGGCACCCTACCTGTGAAATATTGCTAATTTTGATTTCCCATCTTCCAGGATCTTGTTGAGCTCTACTTGACTAACTGTGAGAAGCTGACAGCCAAGAGTCTGCAAACCTTGGTGAGCTTCAGCCACACACTTATCTCCCTCAGCCTCTTTGGCTGCTGCAATATCTTCTACGAGGAGGAGAACCCTGGAGGCTGTGAAGATGACTGTTTGGTGAACCCCACTCGCCAGGTCTTGGTCAAGGACTTTACTTTTGAAGGCTTTAGCCGCTTGCGCTTCCTGAACCTGGGCCGCTTGATCGAAGGGGTAAATGTGGAGACGTTGCTTCGGCCTTTGGCCTCCCTCGCAGCTCTCGATCTCTCTGGGATCCAGCTGAACGATGTGGGGTTTCTGACCCAGTGGAAGGACAGTCTGGTTTCCTTAGTGCTTTACAACATGGACCTTTCAGAGGAGCACATCCAAGTGATCGCTCAGCTTCGCAAGCTCAGGTCAGCAGATCCGTTCTTCCTTCTTTATCCTTTTCCCACTGTTAGGGAAGGGTCTTTTGGAATGCTCTGCTTGCCTGCTAACAGAGAGCCACCCACTGCTAGTTTCAAGTTATAGACCTTCCCATGAGCAGGCTCACTCATTAACTCATGATACATATCTGACATGTCTACAGCCAGCCTGCATTTTGCTTGCAAAAGGGCACCACTTAGCAAAAACTCCTTCTTGGAAAAACAAAAAACCAAAACCCACACACCACAACCACACACACCAAAAAAAGAAAAAAAAACCACCCCAAAACACTACCACCCCCCTGCAGCCAAACAAAAAAAACTAGCTGAATACCTGAGAGATGGCAAAAAAAACCCAACCAAACTACAGATGTGTACATATATAATGTAGCAATAATCACACTCTGAAACTCAGTCCTCCAAACTACTTCTCAAACAGGAATGTCCAAAGTTTAAGCCTGGCTCTGAGGTAGAACTAGGAAGAACTCTGAGCTCAGACTGCTCGCTGTGCTCCGTGGCAACTCACGGTGTGTGGATGGTGCGGCCAAGGGAACGAGCAGCGTAAATAAACGGGCACTCCTGACTTCCCAGTGCTGACAGTGAAATGACTTCCTGAAACAGAGTCGAGACAATTGCTATTCAAACTGCACAGTGGTATCAGGAAAGGGATCCAGGACTTTCCAAGCCCAAGAGCCTTACTGTTCACACAAAGGATGCTGTGCAGTGGCTTTAGCGTCGTCCCTACTGGCTGCAGACACTAGGGGGTACCACGTTAACATATGACCGGGGAATCTCAGGGAATGTCCTGGATAACATTTTCTAAATCCAAGAACTTTAACTTCCAGTGTCTACACTGGGTAGAAGACACTTCTGTGAGTGGGATGTTGGCTCCTGTCCTAGGCAGTTTAGAAAAGTCTCTCCCAAGAGTCTTAGCTACTGCTTGGCCAGCAAGAGCAACCCCTGTCTCATACGGGACCCCACCTGCATGTGATGGCTTGTCAGTGTGTCCCACCACTCCCTTAGCATCGGGGTTTCCCCACAGCCTAGGCATTTAAATATCTGAATGAAACCAGGGCAGCATAATAGCCTGGGGTGGAAAAAAATGTAAGATATAAGCAGACAAAAACTTGTGTAACTTAATTTGTGGGATGAGGCAACATTTGTTTCTGGGGATGCAAAGATCCTCTAGTGTATCTTAATCACCAGGAGGAAAAAGCTCAGGTGGCTGCTGGGATGGAGCCTGGGAAAAGCAGTTCCTGAGCCTGGAGCAATTTCCTTTGTGATGTGTGGCCAAATGAGTCATTGTGCTCCATTCTAAATAGACCTCTACCAGATACCTGTGTGCTTTGGTTAGACACAGGGCCAGATCCTGCTGCCAGATCCTACAGAACCATATTCCTGTATCTTGTGAGGGAAATAATAATAATAATTTAAAAAATTAAATAAAAAATAATAATCACACTTAGCTCATTGTCTTCCTCTGGTAGAGAGGCAGAAGCCCCAGTTTATGTTTTCCAGACTCTGAGCTGCTCTCTGTCCTTTGCAGGCACTTGGATATCTCCCGAGACCATCTGTCCAGTTATTACAAATTCAAGCTGACCCGGCGGGTTCTAAACCTGTTTGTGGAAAACTTGGTAAACCTCACTTCGCTCGATATCTCAGGGCACACCATGCTGGAAAACTGCACTATCCCAAGCATGGAGGAGAAGATGGGCCAGACGAGGTAGGAAACAGCAATTACTGAGGTCTCGGCAATAAAACTAGTGCTTTTGTATGACCACAGAAGCAGACTAACACATCCATCAGATGACACACAGTCCTGTTTGCAAATATTTCCGATCAGTGAAATCCACAGCCCTTTTTTAAGAGGAAATTTTCACCCCAGCTAGTGAATTTCCAGGACAAACTCCCCCTGGGAAAGCTGTATTCTGTCTGTGTGAATTCTTACTGCTGTTTCTGTTGAACATGTTTAGCCCTTCACTCAGGGTCACCTGGGATGAGTGTGTAGTGTTAGGTTTGGAAGCTGACTGGCATGCAGCTGAAGTGTAGTTTTTACTCTGGTGATGGAGCAGTACAGACAGAGTGAATGGAGAGCTGACAGCCATCTCTGTGGCAGGAGACACCTGAAGAAACACGGTACCAACATGAGCGATCTCTTCTTTTTTCCTTTTTCCCCTCAGCATTGAGCCAGCAAAGAGCAGCATCGCTCCCTTCCGGGGTCTGAAACGACCACTCCAGTTCTTGGGCCTTTTTGAAACATCTCTCTGCCGCCTGACGCATATTCCAGCCTACAAGGTAATGAGGCCCAAGAACATCCAACGTTGGTACTTGGTAGAAGTTGGAGGAACATGAAAATTACTGGCTGCTGGTAGAATGGAGTTCTTAGGGTCTTGGGTGTGACAACTGAGCTCTGACCTTTTAATAGGTATTTGATAATTGAGGAGAACTACCAGAAGGCAAGACTTGTGCCCCACCTGGTTTTTACAAGGGTTAAAATAAACACGCCTCTTAGAGAAGAGCCTGGAAAAACCATCTTGGCTGAAGGACCAGGATGCCTGTGGCTGCAAGAAAAGGAGTCTTACTTGTGAATAGCATCCTCCTGCCCCAAAGGTGCTATTTCTGGTCCCCCTGGGCTGAGAAGTGACTCTTTGCTCTCATCCTAGGCCTAATCCTACTAGCAGGGCAGAGGGAAGTTGTACCCTTCGACCTTTCAGAGTTCCCTTCTCATGTTGGTTTTCCTCCATCATTTCTTCCTTGACTCTTTTTGTTCCTTGCTGCCAGGTGAGCGGAGACAAGAACGAAGAGCAAGTCCTGAATGCTATTGAGGCTTACACTGAACACCGGCCAGAAATCACTTCCCGGGCCATCAACCTCCTCTTTGACATTGCCCGTATCGAACGCTGCAGCCAGCTGCTGCGAGCCCTCCAGGTAAGCTCCACGTGAGCATTTATCTCACCCTTACAAGGGAAATTCTGCAGTCCCAGTCTTTTCTTCACCCTGGGACACCATATCAGGCCATTCTGGAGAAAGTTCCAGTAGCGCAGGAGATACCTTCATTCCACAAGCACGTTCCTGCAATGCTGGGGCCACGTATTCCTTGCAGGGCTTGTAACAGTCTTTGTCCCACACACTGTAACAGTCACTCCAAGACTCAACAGCAAGGCAGTGGCACTGAAGCTTCATTTTGCCTCTCTGCAGCTGGTGATCACAGCCCTCAAGTGCCACAAGGATGACAAAAACATTCAGGTGACAGGGAGCGCGGCGCTGTTCTACCTGACCAACTCCGAGTACCGCATGGAGCAGAGCGTGAAACTGCGGCGCCAGGTCATCCAGGTGGTGCTGAACGGCATGGAGTCCTACCAGGAGGTCACAGTAAGAGCAGCCCAGTTTCCTTTGGCTCCCACAGTCCTCCTTCCCTATATTTAAAGTCTTTAACCTGGTGGTAGCATCTGGGACTTCTAAGCCTCCAGGTTGTGAGCCAAGACAGACACCATTGCCCAGATCCGCTGCTTGCCTTCACTCAGTGATTACATGCAGGGTGCTCCTTATCCACGTGATGTTCTCCAGAACAAAAGGGAAGCAAGGCTCCTTTTTATCTGATGATAGTGGCCAAAGGGTGTATACGACCCACACCACAGATACCCACCACTGACCATGGGGTGAAAAGGATGTGGGTGTTGAGTCAGCAGAAAGAAACGTTATCGCAGAGCACTGTACTGGAAGCTGCCTGATGCTGTGATGACACTGGGGTGTGGAACAGCCACTGTTGCATAGAGAGCTTACAGGCAGTGAGGAACTGGCTTGGAAAGTGATGACATTAGGTGATAGTGTGGCCCTGTGAGAACAGAGTGACAGGGAGACAGGAGAGGGTACTGACAGAGCATGGCTAAAGCACAGCACTAGATGGGAGGAGAGTAACAAATTTTAGTGGTCGTAGTCAAGCAAGAAGATGGTTTCAGTACCAAGCAGCAAGGAAAGATGAGGTGATGGGGGTCTGTGTTTCTGTAGCCATGTGGTTTACTTTGTTTTGACCCAGGTACAGCGAAACTGCTGCCTGACACTGTGTAACTTCAGCATTCCTGAGGAGCTGGAGTTCCAGTACCGCCGAGTCAACGAGCTGCTGCTGAACATCCTCAACCAGAGCCGGCAGGATGAGTCCATCCAGCGCATTGCTGTGCACCTCTGTAACGCTCTGGTCTGCCAGGTGGACAACGATCATAAAGAAGCTGTGGGCAAGATGGGGTTTGTCATGGTTGGTATGGTCCCAAGGTGTCTACTTATCCTTAACCCAGGCTAGCACAATTGCCTTGCAGCAGGTCACCAAACACGTCCAAGCCTTGCGGTATCACAGGAGGGGACTAGCGTCCCAGCAATGCCAGCCTTTCCTGGAACCTGCCCTTCCATGTGACATCCTTTACTGGTTTGCCAGTGCTGGAGGTCACGATCTCAGAGACAGTCTGTCTCTGCGAGAGCAGGGAAGCAGCACAGCCTCATACCTTTACCTCTTCACCACACCATATCATTGCCAGAGCTGGTACCACCTTGTCACTAGCTCCTCCTGCATCTCCCTGAGCTTGCATCAGGTTCCCAACTCATGTCAACCCCTATCCCTCACCTTTTCAAAGAGCTGCAGAGGCCACCGCTTTGGTGCGGTTGTACCACATTCCAGACTTTGTCACACAGCTCAAAACTGACTTGACCGCAAAATCGACAGCTCGGGGATGGTGACAGAGTTCAGCTCTGTGAATACTTGAAACACTGAACATTAAACCAGTGGGACTGGTTTAGAGGCAGAGATACCAAGTGGGTTATCTGCAAAGGCTCAGGACTGCACACACCTGCAAATCGGCCAATACTCCAGCAGTTAGTTTTAGCTCTGTGATTCTTTAGCTGTTTCTCACTCTTCCCCTTCCTCTGCCCACAGACAATGCTGAAGTTGATTCAGAAGAAGTTGGCTGATAAAACGGTGAGTGTTTCCCCCCAAAAAACATATGCATAGAGCATTTTCTCTTCAGTCGGGCTTAGGCGTGGAGATCAGTCCAGAGTGCCAGCTCAGCTTCTCTAACAAACACAAGACATCTCAGCTGATGCTGCAGGATTTCCTGTCCCAGGGTGAGGGCAGGGGAATATGACAGGGAGGCAAACATATTAAACAAAAAACCCACTCACTGACAAGTTGAAAGTGAATAACAAGGTTTGCTTACCTCTGGGGCCATTTAGTGCAATACCAGAGAGGAAACATAAGTGGTTGCTTTGCTCTAAGCTCCCACAGCAGTGAGGCTCTTGTTTCTGTCCCCTTGGCTCTGTAGTGTGATCAGGTGATGGAGTTCTCCTGGAGTGCCCTCTGGAACATCACTGATGAGACCCCTGATAACTGCGAGATGTTTCTTAACTACAGTGGCATGAAACTCTTCTTGGAGTGCTTGAAAGTGAGTATGTCTGGTTTCCTCTAGAGAGATGCTGGTACAAGCAGTGGAGAGGCAGGATCCCTGGCTACGCTAACCCATAAGCAGTACTTACCATGTTGCATAAACAGAAACAAAAAAGCTTGCATATTTTTTTTTTTCTGTCATCCATCCACCCAACCAGCAGAAAAACAGAGAAACTTACGCTCAATGCATTTTCCTCTTTCCACATCTTGTGCACAGTCCCCCTTAAGTGGAGCAGCAGTCAATAGTAGGTCCTGGCCTCAATTCTCTTGTTTCACTTGTATCTTGAACACCAGAACTCCCTTTTAGCATCTGCTAAAGGACTGACTAAAAAATACCCAGCCTTTCTAGGTGTACTGTACAATCTTTCTCCAGGGTTAGCTTGTTCCCAGCGTCACCACACCTCTTCTCTTGTATAATCCTGTTCTTTGCTTGTTCAGGAGTTCCCAGAGAAACAGGAGCTGCATCGCAACATGCTGGGCCTCCTGGGCAATGTAGCAGAGGTGAAGGAGCTCCGCCCGCAGCTCATGACCTCCCAGTTCATTAGTGTGTTCAGGTGAGCACCTGGCTAACGAACGGCTGAGCTGGGGCAGGGCAAGTGCCCTGGAGCTCTGCTCCTGAATCACCTGGAAACTTTCGAAACCCTAGTGTATCAATACCTCTAAATGTTCTCTTCTCTCTTGGCAGCAATCTGCTGGAGAGCAAAGCAGATGGGATTGAGGTATCCTACAATGCCTGTGGTGTGCTCTCCCATATCATGTTCGATGGTCCAGAGGCTTGGGGTATATGTGAGCCCCACCGAGAGGAAGTTGTAAAGAGGATGTGGGCAGCCATCCAGAGCTGGGATATCAACTCCAGGAGAAATATCAACTACAGGTGAGGAATAGAAGAGTTTGGCCCTCCCACCAGGGAGCCAGGGTTGTCACAGGAAGCAAGTGCCAACAGAGAGAAGGGAGGAGATATAGCCCAGCTTGGAGGCTCTGTTCAGAGTGAAGGAGAAACATCCTCAGGGACATACTCTTTAGTTTCACATCTTCCTTTGAAATGTGTTACACAGGCTGCTGAATTTAGACACCTCACCTGGCGATTCCTGTGGGAGGGGATTCCTGAGGGAGCCCAACAGAATTTCCCCTGCTTGTTTCTGGTGAAATTGAATAGTTCAGGAAACCCATGATCTGACTGTCTGGGACTGCCTAAGCATTTTCCTCTGAGGCTGCTGTCCTTTGCACCGCCTTAAGTCTGTTCGCTTTGGCTTCTGAAAGTCACATGGGTTGCTGTAGCTTTCACTCTCCTCTGGGGGACAGGTAGACACAGTTCCCAGAAATCCCTTCACGGGTTAATGTAACTGGTGGAATCCTCCAAAACCCTTCCTGTAAGAGGGTACTGGGTACTCTCTATTCCCATAGTGCCTGGCAGGGCTCCAGAACGAACGGCATCCAATGTCTGACATTATTGTTGTCAGAGGAAACGCAGCAACGGTTGCACATGAGCAGCCACCAACAGCTGGGTATCATTTTGCCCCTCTACAGAAAGACACCAACAGCTGGGTATCATTTTGCCCCTCTACATTTGCCCCTCAGCGCTGCCAGGTTTCAGCCGTCGTGAGGAAATGACTGGCAGAGTCTGGCAATCAGTTCCTGGACTCGGCTGCATTCGTTGCAGTTATTTATCCGGGCAGTGTGTTTGTGCCAAAGTGGCAGGGCTGGTAAGGCTGCCAGTCCTGCCCTGTGACACAGACATGGTCTCTGGTGCCAGAATTTTTGACGTGCAAAGGATTGACTGCTGCGGTGTCTGTGAGCACAGCGTTTGCATTGCTCTGAGCGACAAAGGTGCTGAAAGAAGCAGCTTTTGGATTTTTAACGACTTCTGCCATGTTTCTGTGCAGGTCGTTTGAACCAATCCTTCGACTTCTTCCACAAGGGATCTCCCCAGTCAGCCAGCACTGGGCCACCTGGGCACTCTATAACCTGGTCTCTGTCTACCGTAAGTTCCCTTTTTGAAATCACATCCACTGCATGTAAAAGCTGAGGGTGTGGATCTGAGCTCGTTAGCAGAAAAAGCCTTCCCAGCTTAGCTATGTGGGTGGTGAGAACCTTCTTTGAGTGCTGCAGGAATGTCCAGGCAGCACAGCCAAACAAAGACCATGAGACTCACTGCGTAGGAAATTCCTTCAATGTTCTGATCCCGCTGGCCTTGCTCTTGTGTTCTCAGCCCTTTTGTGCCTGTTGTTTTCACACCAGGGCACCCCCAGCAGGCTTGTCTCCATAAAAAAAAGAAAGTTTTGTGCCCTCTCAGGCCACAGGCTTCTCCTTCCTCTCCTGTCCCCCATTTATACCACTCCTGTGAGGGTTCACAAGGACCTGTTTTATTCTCTTCCCTGCAGCTGACAAGTACTGCCCACTGCTGATCAAAGAAGGTGGGATCCCCCTTCTGAAGGACATGATCAAAATGGCCTCAGCACGGCAAGAGACCAAGGAAATGGCCCGGTAGGAAACCAATGCTCTATCATCAAACATCCAATTTAGCTTCAGTTTAGTTTTTATTCTTCTACATCAAGTAAGGCTACCAAAGAAAGGCCTGTACTTGATGTGTATGAGGGGTGAGAAGTGATCACAGGAGAAGAGCAGGAAAAAGAGGATGAAAAGAGAAGAGTAGAGAGGTGTTCATAGGTGGGTGATGCACACAGATCGTTCAGGGTGATGGATGATGGGCACAAATTGGTTATAGAAGTGGCTGGTTGGACTGGGGAGCCATGTGCCTCTTTGCATCTCACACCAATAGTCACCAGTCATCAGGGCTCTCCCTGCTTATGTGGGCTCCCTGTCCAGAATCATACTGGCCTCAAAATTCCTGAATGTGCAGTTAGAGGAGAGGATTTTTCAAAAGGTGGAGAGAGTCCATCACCTTTGTGAGCTTCCCCAACTTACTCTGCTCTGTCACCTTCCTTTGGAGTCCTTCTTTCCGAGGTTTAGCATCTAATCATTGGCAAACGGAGAGCTACAATTTCATACCTGCAGGATAAATATAAAAGAGAGGCAGAGATCAGGTCCCTTGAGGGTGGGAGCAGGCACTCCCCACAGCTGAAGGTGGCTGGAGGTGACAAGCCTGTGGAGACTCTCACAGTTGGAGGATTGGGTAGATGATGGGACAGTGCAAGAACCATAAAAGCAAAGAATAGGGGGTGGGAGCAGGCACTCCCCACAGCTGAAGGTGGCTGGAGGTGACAAGCCTGTGGAGACTCTCACAGAGAATAGAAAAAGCAGGGACAGGTGACAGCAGAGTGAAGGACAAACATCTGCGTGCAGGGGTTTGCTGATGGGATCCAGAGTTACCTGACAATTTGGATATGGGGGCGATGAATGAACAACCGCGTGTGGATGTGGATGTGTATTAACACGACTGGAAATTCTGAGGGGATGAATTGTGAGCTTTAAGCTGCTGTTGGGGAATATACTGGTTCTGACACAAATACGGGTCGATGTGTATCTCGGAAGAGGCTGCCTGCTGCAAATAGCAAACGTTTACATAGAGCTCGAGCAGTTGGACAGTCCTTACATTACTGTCCCACAGGTGTCACACAGAAAGCTTTAAACTAAACCCTCTCTCCTTGTCCTTGTTTTATCCGTAGGAAAGTTATAGAGCACTGCAGTAACTTTAAGGAGGAGAACATGGACACTTCCAGATAGAGGCCTCATCTAAAGCCTCTTGCCAGCACTGTATCCAGCTTCTCTCTGATTCACTGTATATAGGGAGGACTCTTTCTTACCAACTCGCCCGTTGGAAGGAAACTTTATGTGTGTGTGTGAGACCCTCAGTAGATGAAGGTGAACAGGGGAGGGGGGAGGGACTTTTTGCACAACAAAATGCTTTCCTTAAATTAGTGGACTTTTTTTGTTATGAAGTTTCAGGTTGAAGTTCTGTGTGTATGATTTCTGTATAAAAAGAAAACAAAAAACAAAGACAAGTACATTATGTATCTTTTAACCTTTTTATTTTAGACCACACAGAGAGCCTCAAATGATCATGAGCTTGAAGACCTAGTTGTGTGATCGCTAGTGTGACGTTTTTATTTCCCACTTTTTAGAAAATTCCCTTTTGCTGTATTGCATGAGGTCCTGTCATGTCTGCAAGAACACCAGCCCTGAATCGGTATTGGCTGCTCAATGGGGTTACAGGCAGCACCAAGTTATGTATTTGGTTAGAGAGGTTGGGGGACACAATACCAGAGAATTAGACCAAAAGAAATGACCTTTTTAGTGATATTTGTAAATGGAGGAAACGGGAAAAAAAGATCTTTCAAGTCAATTCACTCCCTTAAGGATTTTTTTTATAGAAGACTCACATTAATGGAAGCATTGCTTACTGTATGTGGGTTGTTCAGAAGTAAAACATTCCCATTAAAGTCAAGAGGTCTGTTTTGTCCCCTTTGGCAGCACAGTAGGACCTGCCAGCCCACCCAGCTTCGTAAGGTCAGGGATGACCAGTAAATCCAGTTACACATCCTTGCTAACGCAGAGCTTGTCTTTCTAAGGGAGTCTGTGCAACAAGGAACAAGGTGTGTTCACAAAGGGCTACACATCTTCATTCCAGTCCTTCACCACCTTTTTAATTGTGTTCTATTTACGGGGAAGGGCTATAAATACCAGAGAGCATATTTCCCTCTTCATAATAAGCTCTACTGGGCCCCAGTCCAGAGTGGCTTCTACCATTTGTGCAAATCCCAGTAATGGCCTGGAGCTGCTCTGCTCTTTTTCAGTCTGCATCAATGCAAAGATGCAAGACCAGGTTGGGTGGGGATTTGAGCAACCTGGTCTAGTGGGAGGTGTCCCTGCCCATGGCAGGGGGTTGGAACTCAATGATCTTTAAAGTCCCTTCCAACCTGAACCATTCTATGATTTTATGAAACCGTGCTCAGTGGCAAAGTAATCTCCCTTTAGAGGAAGCTCACTGCAGCACAAATGCTGCAACTGGGGGTGCTAAAGTCTGGGGAGTCTCCAGGCACCCTTTGGAGGGTGATCCCATAAAATAGCACCTCTGGTTCCACCCCAACATCTTCCCCCTCTTCTGGGAAGCAAAATGTCCTGTTCTTACGTGACTCCCACTAGTACTTACCAGTGCAGTCCCGCTCGCGTCAGCAGCACTGAGAGTCCCACTGAGGTGGTCTTCACCTGTAACTCCAGACCTCTAAGGAGTCAAGAAGCGAAAGGCCAAGGTTTGCCCCAAACCAGGCACTCAACACCACGGCGTGCAGTCCATCCTTAGAGCCCTCTGCTTGCCACGGTTCTTTCACAGTTCATAAATCTGCCCTTCGAAGGGATTTAGAAAAGATTTTGTGTCTGGCAGCAGTAAGAGGAGACCATGGCCATGGGAGCTGGGACGTTTCAGGCCTCTGAGCACAGTAACCCTCGCTGCTCTCTTCCCTCTATACGTTGCTCTCAGATTTGACTCGCTGCTATGAGGTTCTTCTAATGCTCAGAGCTAATGTTGTCGTTGCTGAGCACATTGTAGACAGATCCTAGATACACAAACTGACACTTTAAACGACAGAACACAGCTGCCCTGCAGAGGTTTACTTCTGCCAATATGGTGTTACTCGATGTCTTTTTTTTTTTCTTTTTAACCATACGTCATTTGTTTTGATATTGTGAGATCTGTACTTTTTTTCTTTAAGTATTTTTCAACCTTATATATATTTTTGTGTCACTTTTGAATTGTTTTCATACAGTTTGCAAAACTTGATGAATTATACTTTTTTTTTGCAGTCATTTGATTGAAATGTATTTTTCTCTCTCTTATTTCTGTTCCCCAAGAATTTGTGTCCCTATGAGCTTTGAGACGGGGAAAGCTTATTTCATGATCTGTTTTCTGTATAACACATACTAATCTTCCCTCTAGATGCAAAACCTAAGAGAGGCTGCAAAAACTGCCTCGGAGCGTTAGGGGAGTCAGGCTTTGCTCATTTAATTCTCCCTTTAGTGCTGCTGTCCTTTTGAAGTTGTTTGGCGTGACAGTGCCACCCACTAGGCTTTCATCCTTTGTAATGCCCATACAGTGAAAGCTCCTACCACTAACATCTTCAATCAAAGAGCACTCAAACTTCTGACCGTGTTGGGAAGGTGGGAGCGGAGCAGAAGGGGACATGTCACAGATGTGAGAGGTATCAGAAACCCATGTTGGAGACCTCTGGAGCTCAGGAGCCCCCGTCTCAGCTAGAGCAGAACCTCAGCCTCGCACTGTCATCAGAGCCAAACAATCAGGCTTTACGCTGAGATTTTGGCACAACTACATCAAGGTTAATGGACAACCGATGGCTTGTTTCTATCTGCCTCAAGACGCCAAAATTTTGGGGTTTTCAAACCAGTGCCCCTATAAATTCAGCTGTTACTGAGGCCTCCCCTGCTGCAAGCTGGACCATGGTATCCTGAACAGCCAAGATCCAAACCTTTGTTCCACACTGTTAAGATGAGCTCTGGCCTCACTGCTCACGTACCCTCATCGAGCTGTGCCTGAACCTGAACCAGAGCAAAAAGATTTCAAATTCCCAGCAACATGTAGATTACTGGAGTCAGGCCAGCAGCCAGAAAAGCTTAGCTTTCTGAAATCTGTACCAATCCCAGGGGGAAGGGGAAACTAACTGCTCTGTTACTGCTGGCTACACAGAAGATCTTGAGTCAGGCCACCAGAAAGGTAAATTCCTGAGACAGCATTTTAAAACAAAGAGCATCCCTGCCAGAGTAACATGAGCTTCAGCTACAAGCTTCAATATCTTCAAGCCAACAAACTTTGGGAGCTAAAATAATAACATTTCTCTTTCAGTAGGGAGCAAGAGAGAGGAAAGGTGTCCTCCAAGCACCTGAGCGTAATCCAGGAATTCCTGTAATGGGGAGTTTGAAGCTAGTTTGTACCTCAGTTTCCCTAACTGAAACAGCAGGTGGTGTTGCACCCTAGCCATAATGCATGTACCATGACCCAAAAGCACTTTTTGGAGGCAAAGAGGAGTTAACGAATCGCTGCTGTAGATCCAACACTCGGGACAGAATAGGATAGTTGTCTGCAGCCACCAGACCAACGTTCTGCAAAGGAGGGGAGGGCAAAGTGGCTGATTTGTTGTGAAGGTCTAATGGAAAAGGAGAAGTTGGATATCCTGAAATGCTTGACTGTTACAGAGAAGCCTCTCAGGCCTTCCAGCTTTGCTGGAGCAAAGGAATGAACCAGGAGACCTCAACTCCACACAGAATTGTAGAGCTAACAACCAACCCTGCCCAGAAAATTAGAACAGGGTTCTATCTGCCAAATGAAAACCCACCTGGAGAGAAGTTCATAATGTGTAAAGATACGGCAGAGGAGCTCCTAGTGCTCTGTAGCTGTTGTCCCACTCAGATTCTTATTTGTATTTTCACTACTACATTTCCTTTACTATTCAGAAGCTTGGCAAGCAGAGCACAAACACAACTCGGTAGCTCTCTGCAGAGACTGGGCCACCAGAGGAACCCTTTACCTTGACTAGATGTAGTTTCCTTCCCAGCTGAAGGATGCCTCGTGGTTCAGTGGCCTAAGTCAATGACCAGCAGACCTCAGCATGCAGGCTACCAGGTGTCTGCCGTTGTCTCTGCAATAGATAAGAGCAAATTGGTGGGCAACTTCCCACAAGTGCTTCCATTTTACAAGATCTGTGGGAGGAATTGCATATAATGATTGGCACCTGCTTGTATGATGTTTAACACCCAGCAGCACCAGGCTTTCTCGTCTAGACCAAGCCAAGAAAGTTTAGCACTGATATTTGTGGCAATTAGTAACGCTGCAGATAATTCATCTGCCCCATCTGCGTGATGGCTGCGATTATCCTGCACCTACGTACTGGCTGAAATGGTATCTGTTCAGCACTGAATCCTACCCGGCTCGTCAGCTTGGCTGGGCTTCTGCTGCAGTCACTCTGGTCTCTGCAAAAGATGAGTGGGAAGAAAAGTCTTGGAGCTGTGAGCCTATTTCCCTCTCATCACTTGAAGGCAGCAATTAATTACCGGTAGTTCAAGAGCTACAGGGGCAATGCATTCAGGTGCTACTCCATAGAAAATACATTTTCTTGAAACCGTTTAAGGAGGAGCCTGCAACAGCTCAGGTGTTGGGGGGTAGCTTGTGCTGGAAAAAGAAGAAAAAAAAAGAGAATTAAAAGTAGGGAAACAGCTGGTCTCCATGACAACCATGTGTATGAAGCACAGAGGGTAATGGTCATCAGGAATGGATGAAAAGCAACGTGGGGGCTCAATGAGAAGACAGCACTTAAAAAGAAAAGGAATTAGGGAGACTTCCTGCTGAACTGAAGCACTTCTGCTTTAGCAGACGATATTTTGATTTCATATAGTTGTCACTGATCCTCTCTGTAATTCTTTTCTTGTTTTAAAAAAAGTTTTTAAGCTAACTAAATATGTATTTCCTTGTTTTGCTTAAAGAAAATAACCTCAGTTATAATGAGCAAGCGTCTGCTTTTACTCTGTCCATTGACCTGCCTGATGTTGAGAGGCCTGGTTCAAATGTTTGTACATGGTGAAACCAAGCAAAAAAATAATAATGCACAACTGTTGCTTCCTTACAATTCTGAATGAATTAACTTTTCTGTTGTATCCATTGGATACCCGCTGTGTATTAAACCTAGTGCTTAACAATGTCTTCTTCCTTTGGTCTCTGAATGTGGTTTATTTAGATACATTACTGGTCCATTTGCTGTCATATATTTCATTAAAAATGAAAGGAACTGCCATGTGTTGATGATGCAGTTCAGTGGCTTTTCCTCTCATCACTCCAAGGGACACAATACTGTTTGTCAATAGAAAAGAGGCGTGGAGGAAGAGAGTATTGTTATGAAATTATGTGAGAGGAGAAAAAAAAACCCAGAACAATATTTGACTGTACAGCTTGCCTCTGAACTCTGTAACGGATCTGTGGCTTGCATTCCACAGCCCAAACTTTGTAAGTGGGCAGAAGCTGAGTACCTAAGAAAAGACTCTAGCTCAGAACAGTCAATCTGCTTTAAGGCCAGCGTGACTTTCTTCTCAAGACCCTGCTCCTGCAAGGGTTCAACTGCCAGTTAATTCAATGGTCATTGTAAACTCTCTAAAGGATCAGGCTCCAGGTGGCTGAAGCAGGGGGAGAAATTGTGTGAAACTGAACTGCCTCTCAGAAGCTGAAGATGTACCACATTGTAAGAGTACAGAGAGATACCTTAGGCTTCCAGCAGCATGAAATTCCTAGCTGGAATGCCATAAGAATCTAGATTCTCCACTCAGAAACTTGCTAGTATAGACTTTTTGGAACTAAGCCTAATTTCAACCAGTCATTTAGGTTGAAACCCTTGAGACAGAGATAAGCTCTGATCTCTGTAAGACAGGTTTCAAAACTGTAAGAAAAGATAAAAACTGTAACATGCACCAAATTATTCTAATCACAAAGACAGTGAGAATACATTCCTTAGGATGGATTAGTCTAGAATACCAAAATGTGTCTACTTTCAAGTGGGTAATATTGTTACCACTCAAATTGCCTTCATTAAACATTAAAATTTACACCTCTCTGCAAAGAACAGAAAGACACTACCCCCCTTTTTTTTTTTTTTCCCCCTGTTTGTAGACAGAGCCTGATGCTCTGAGCTTCCTACTGTTCTGAAAGGCTTCCTTTGCAACTCAAGGAACAGAAAGATTTTCAGGATATTTAAAGCAGGCAGACAGTAGCAGGGCCGTCTTGCATATAAAATATGTGAGCTTTGACAAGTACTGATGCAGGCTACGAGGCAGGTGTCTGAGGGAGGATTTCTGTAGGTTTTCCATTTACCTAGAATAATAATAATAAAAAAAAGCATTTGAAATATTGTTGAAAATTTAGACTACAGTTTTTATTAACATTTCAACACAGCTGTCTCAGATAAACCATTTAAATGACCTGTGCAGCCAGGTGCTTTCCTGGAATCAGCAGATGGCCACTAATGTACTTAAAAGAGAATAAAATAAACAAGAATATTCCATTTGTGATTAAACAATACCAAGGAATCAGCTACTTTTCAGGTGCCGGAGGATAAATTTGCAGAGAACATAGATTTTCTTTCCAAGTTTTTACTGGAAAAGAAGGTAAGAAAAGCAGCAAGATACATCTATGTTAAAACTGAAAAGAGATTAAAGAGAAAACACTGATTTCGGAACTTTTACAGGCCTGTGGTGAGATTCATCTCCCCTAAATAGACAGGCACTCAATGTGTAAATGTGTACGTCTAAGCTAGTCTTCTTGGCTTTTATTATTAGCAAGAGATGAAAACACATCTAGGGTGCAATCCAACTCCTTTTAGATGTCTGCTTTCAGATGAGCAGGCCCGTTCTCCAGACGTGCCCGTTTCCCTCTGCGGCTGTCGGGGGAGTCTAATGGCCTGGCTCCGACACCAACGCCTTTCGCCGCCGCCATCTGAAGCTCCATCAAACCCCACTCCGGCGGCCTCCTACTGAAGTTCTGTCAGACATTTACAAGCTGCGTTGGCATCAATCAGGCTGTCTGCGTGGGCTCAGCCAGGCACAACCTCTGCATTTCTCCCGGGGGGTGGGTGGGTGGGTGGCAATCAACAGGTGAAATAATCAAATTGGCGAGACCAGAGTTAACACACCGGGGTCTCACCCAGACAGCGCCTTCCAACAGCGAGACCCTCTCCGTTCCTCACACGCACATTTAGCACCATCGCTTCGGGGGTAGCAGAGTTTTACCTCAGCCCCGGGCTCCCCACAATACCCACCAAACTGAAAAATGGCTGAGGGCCCGGGGGGCTCAGGGTGAGGGGACAAGCCGGGATGGGGGGCTACAGGAAAGGCCTTTCTCCTGGAAAAGGCCCCCAAAGTGGAAGGAAAGGGGAAACTGCAGGTTGTGAGGGAAGGAAGGAGCTCTCGGGCTGCAGAGAAGGAGGGAAGGTGGAGAGAGACCCCAGTTCGCACTCAGGGGAAGCCTGAGGGGAGTGAGTGAGCCTGAGTGACCCTGAGGGGTCACTACCCGGCCTGACAAGGGGGGCCGAGGACCCGCGTCGGGACCGGGCCTCCTGAAGGAACCGCACTGAGGAGGGCAACGGTCCCCGCCGAGCCACCGCCCGCCGGGCCCGGCCCCGCCTCCGGTCGCCGCCCGCCCTTCCGGGCGCCATGGGGGCCGGCGGGCTGTGGGTGCGGGCGGCGCACACCGCCCTCAGCGGGGCCTTGGCGCTGGGGCTCTTCCTGCACCGCACAGGTGAGGAGCGGCCCTCCCTCAGACCCGGCCGGGGGAAGGCGGCCCGCACCGGGGAAGGGGGCGGCAACGACCCGGGCTGAGGCGCACAACCTCTGCATTTCTCCCGGGGGGTGGGTGGGTGGGTGGCAATCAACAGGTGAAATAATCAAATTGGCGAGACCAGAGTTAACACACCGGGGTCTCACCCAGACAGCGCCTTCCAACAGCGAGACCCTCTCCGTTCCTCACACGCACATTTAGCACCATCGCTTCGGGGGTAGCAGAGTTTTACCTCAGCCCCGGGCTCCCCACAATACCCACCAAACTGAAAAATGGCTGAGGGCCCGGGGGGCTCAGGGTGAGGGGACAAGCCGGGATGGGGGGCTACAGGAAAGGCCTTTCTCCTGGAAAAGGCCCCCAAAGTGGAAGGAAAGGGGAAACTGCAGGTTGTGAGGGAAGGAAGGAGCTCTCGGGCTGCAGAGAAGGAGGGAAGGTGGAGAGAGACCCCAGTTCGCACTCAGGGGAAGCCTGAGGGGAGTGAGTGAGCCTGAGTGACCCTGAGGGGTCACTACCCGGCCTGACAAGGGGGGCCTGTGCTCTGTCCTGCTGTACTTTAAGGTGTCTCTCATGGATCCGGGTTTTGTTAAGTCTGAAGAGGAAGCGGAGGTAAATCACTCAAGGGGTGGAAGAGAGTGGCGAGGCTATACAAATCTATAGGCTTTATTTCTTGGCCCCACTCTGCTCGATACAAACAATCTGAAGCGGTCTCTGTTGCGCTTGGCAGAAAGGAAGCGCACACAGACCGTGGGGGATTAGCCTGGGCAGTCTCTGGTTCGTGCTCTGTCACTGCAGTGGGGTTCACAGACTTTAACTGTGTATTTTACACCACGCTCCCTTTGGACCTGCACTGTGCCATTTGAGCATAAATCCTGCCTTGCATCCGAGGCCGGCCCTGGGGCTGCCCTGAGGGCTGTGGGACCCCCATCCCATGGCCTGCTTCTCCCTTCCTCACCCTCTTGCCGCCTGGTTTCTCCCCTTAACCCCTTCGTTAAGGCCAGAGAGAAAAAAAATCCTAAACGCCTCACAAGGAACTGCTCTTCTCTTTTTTTTTTTGGGGGGGGGTACCTTCCAGATCTGCAAAAGCAAGAGGAGCGGGGGGAGCTGCTGCAGCCGCTGATCTTCGTCTTACTGGTGCTGTGCTCTGTCCTGCTGTACTTTAAGGTGTCTCTCATGGATCCGGGTTTTGTTAAGTCTGAAGAGGAAGCGGAGGTAAATCACTCAAGGGGTGGAAGAGAGTGGCGAGGCTATACAAATCTATAGGCTTTATTTCTTGGCCCCACTCTGCTCGATACAAACAATCTGAAGCGGTCTCTGTTGCGCTTGGCAGAAAGGAAGCGCACACAGACCGTGGGGGATTAGCCTGGGCAGTCTCTGGTTCGTGCTCTGTCACTGCAGTGGGGTTCACAGACTTTAACTGTGTATTTTACACCACGCTCCCTTTGGACCTGCACTGTGCCATTTGAGCATAAATCCTGCAGTACCCTATGGGACATATACATTGACCTGTTTTGTACAAACCCACGGCTAAGTGCAAAAAGCCCGAATGGAATAGCAAGCTTGGAAGAAATGCTCTCTGCAACTCTATTTATCGAACTGTTTATAGATTTGTTGCCCTCTCGGAGGACAGATACACAAACAACAGAGTGAGGTAAATGGAGATGCAGAGTTACAGTAACCGAGAGGTGAGGTGCTGCGGGTTCACCGCCTCGCAGATTGCGTAGGACAAAAGAGACAGAGCATTATTGATTTTAATCGTCCACCATTAATGTAAATGTTGGCTGCGTTACGAATAAGTGGCGCTGCTTATACTGAAAAGACATCATTGTTGTGTTTGGAAGTGAAGTCTAACCTTTGTTTATTTTTTGTCCCAAAGCATAATGTTGGGATCAGTGTAGTATCTTGTCCACAGTTATTTCTGCCTCTGTACAAACATTCTTTTGATGATTAGAGTAGCCTGTTCTCTCACTGCACCTTAACTGTGTTCAGTTGAATTTCATGCCACAGTATTTATGTAGCAGCTTCCGTAGGAATTCTAAGTAATTATTTTGACTTTTCTAATGATAGAGACAGCCAGCACTGTGTAACTAAGAGGATGCAGGCGGCTCATTTGTGCCAAGTGGGCTAATAGCCACTGTGCTTGAGACGGCAGCACACAAAACCTCCTTAGTCACTCCCTTTCTCTATTTTGCAGGCAGGCAATAGTGAAGAACAAAGAATGGTGACACCCCAAGTTCCAAGCAACATTAAGATGCGCCGTTGTGGCTACTGCATGGTGAAGGTAGGCATCCATAACAATCCAGAGGAGAACGGGATGAGCGATTCGCAAGCTTACATTTTTTGGCAACGTCTTTGTTCAGCTGCTGTTGGCTTTGTTTTTCTGCGCTGTCACTGCTGCTCACTGCTCAGTGGTTGGGAGGCACGGCAGATCTGATTAATTCTGTCAAAGGGTCACCCTCCTGCTGAAAAACTCACAGAGAAAGTAAACACAACTAGCAAATTGAATTCACGTGCAGTTCTGAATTGAAAAGTGATCCAAACTGACTGTGTAGCTGTAGATGTTGTAGTGATGGACATTGGCATGTTGCTGGTTTTCCAAGGTTGAAACAAGTCCTTGCTGGCTCATAGAAACAAGGATCTTCTATTGCCATGGGAAAATCGTGTTCTACATTCTTACTGCCATGTCGGTCAGACCTTACAGTATTGTCAAAAAGCTTATTTTGGAGATATCTTGATAGAGAGTTAGAAAAGCAGTTGAGCATGACAAATAAGAACTGCTGGTAGCTGTGAGCTTGTTCAGAGGCCTGAAAACAACAAAGCGTTAGCCTGAATTGTAAAAGATAGCATGAAGGAAAAATTAGAGCAATTAAATTAGCTCTTAAAACAGTTTGCCTAAAGCTTAGACGTGCCTGTTTTCAGAACAATCCTTATCAGTTTAATAAAATCCAGCATTATCCCAGCTTCCATAAACTCCTGAAGAATATCTATGAGGAGAAGTGAGCTTATTGCAAGCGGAAGAGCTGGCAAAACATACACATGCTTCAGGGAACAAATCCTGGGGAGTCACTCTCATACTACTGCCCCCAATCAGGTCTTCCATCTTCTCTGTTCCTGGTACCTGAGCTGCTTTCTGTGCAAGTGTCTTGCCTTCACACAGAAGTGGAGACGCTTCTCTCCTCTACGTAGTCCCACAAAGACATCCCATCCCTGCATCTTTCTTCAGTAGCTGTGGTCCTAGTTTTTCACCTCAGCACTGTTCATGCTTTCCTGAATAGACTGATTCACTCTATCTCCCTCCTTTGCACACTGGGCTTTTTATAAATAGGTAGATAATAAAGAAAATGTATAGATAGAAGATGTGTGGGAGAGTAATTTAATTTGAATCTCGGTCATTTGGGTCTGTATCAAAGGAATCATTATACCCTTTAGTTGTCTTAGGAGTGTTCACATTGTGCTGTTATCTCAATATAATACATATAATATACAATATAATAACATACCATCATATAGACAAGGTTGAGCACTGGTCTGGTGGGAGGTGTCCCTGCCCAGGGCAGGGGGTTTGGAACAACATGATCTTTAAGGTCCCTTCCAACTCAAACCCTTCTATGACCTTGGAGTGCTTTTGGGACAGTACTGCTGTGGAGGAGGATGGTATTGCAGGGTGCTCTCTTCTACCAAAGAGGGAGTCAAACAGCAGGGCACTATTCTAGAGACTGTTTGGTTTTTGTTTTGCAGCAGCCAATGCGAGCCAGGCACTGCCAGCTGTGCCAGCACTGCGTGCGGCGTTACGACCATCACTGTCCCTGGATTGAGAACTGCGTAGGAGAGAAGAATCACCCCCTCTTCATCGCCTACTTGAGTGTGCAGCTTGTGGTTCTGCTGTGGGGAGGTCACGTTGCTTGGTAAGGCCTGGAGCCAGCACTTTGACCTCTGAGATTGCTAGAAGTTTCAGTGCTATAAGAGCCCCACTGAAGGGTTTAGAGCAGAGACTGGATTGGCTTTGTGTCTTCACCCTCTTTTGCACCCTGGAGATCAGCCCTTCTGAGCCTCCTGATCTGCTGAGGGACAACAGAGCTGATCAATGGTTGAGCAGAATCTTATTATTTGGGTTTCATTGTTCATCTTTGTTTTAAGCTTAAATTAACAGAATTAACAACAGTAAAAAGAAGCTTAACTAATTTTTCTTCAGTTACTGTAATACCATCTTTGTTTACAAACTAAAGTTCTGGAAGCTGCAGCAGGGTTTCAGCTGGGTGCCTGTACAGGAGAGGAGTTAACCAAAGATGACTGTGTCTCTCAGCTGTCAGGGGAACCAGCCTCTCCTAAACTTCTTAGAATCTAAGTCATTACTGGTGCAGTCTCTTAAGAGTGTGTAGTGTATTAACTCCCTGTAGTACATGACTATCAGAAACTAGGGATGAATCAAACTTAAAAGTGACATCAGGTTTTCTTGGCTCAGGTAACTGGTTCTGCATCTTTAACCATGAATTTATTTCTCTTTGAACTGCAAGGTCAGGCCTCTACTTTGAACAGTCCTGGGACTGGCTGCAGCACAACATTTTCCTCCTCATGTCCTTCTTCCTGATAGTCATATTCACCGTTGTTGTCCTGCTGCTGCTTATTTCACACCTCTATCTGATCTCGTGCAACACCACCACCTGGGAATTCATGTCACACCATCGCATCTCCTACCTGCGACAGTCCGAGTTGGAGAATCCCTTTGACCAAGGGGTAATCCTCAATCTCTGGAGATTCTTCTGTTCGAGCCACCTCACTGCATGGGAGAACATCTGTTTCCAGAGGAACAGTGAGCCTGTCTAGTCACAGCAGTCCCTGCCCGGTGGAGCACCAACGCGGCGGCAGGTTGCTGGGTAAAGCTTTGCTGATGCAGCTGCTGCTGCTTCCTCGCATGGAACTTTCATACATCACAAACTATGCAACCTGTTCCACAACCAGTTCACCCTGCAAACTACATTTTGAGGATAGTCAGGGTTATTTTTTTTATATATAGGAATAACACTGTTAAAGGGGAGACGCTGGTTCCGGGAAGGCCAGCAGGGGTGACTTCTGGCCCGAGCAAAGGCATCTCTAAATTTGTTTCCTTTTGCTAATTGCATCCACATCTCTCCACTCCAGTAACACTGTTGGTCATCCTGCTACCTCAACAGACTTAGGAAAACTGTAATAGAAGAACACAAAGTTTCAATGCAAGAGGAAGGATTCTAGGTCCGGTTTGTTTCATTAGGATTAGGGGGTGCCCATAGCTTTCCAAGATGGCAGCAAGCTTGTTTTCCATTGCAATGAAAAAGTCATACTTTAAGTTTCCATGAGGAACTAAAAGTAAGTTTGGGATGACCACTTTTAGCTTTAAAAACAGAAAAGGCTGTGGTGTGGATTTCAGTCCCAGCCCTTCTCAGATTAAAAAAAACCAAAAACCACCAAACCCACCAAAAAACAGCACCACAACAAAACCTTAGTTAAAATTGTTTTGTGCCTTAATTGTTTTGGCTCAGGAATTAACACCAGCTCAAGAGCACATCTGGCTGGTAGGATGCACTCAGGGATTACAGTTGATGAGCACTCACAAAGGGACAGTGTAGTCACTAATACAGCATCGTAGTCCAAAAATGGCAGAAGGATCCCTTTTTTGACCAACACCAGAGTTGGTAACCTGTCTCCAGTCTGGTTTGTTCAGGGCAGAAAATCCTATCAGAGGGATATCGGAACACTAAAAATTGTTTTCATAAATTTTATACCATCCAGAAAGGATTCTGCAGTTTGTTTGTGTCACCGTGGTGCCTGCTGAAGTATGGCTCATCTGCCTCTTCCCAATTTCTGGTTCTTCAGGTATCAGTCAAAGAAAAATCTGTCAGCAGGTACTACAGCTCAAACCACACAGTTTTGCTCTGTTTGATAATTCTTTTTTAAATGCACTGAGATGATAATTTAGTCTTTTTACTTTACTATAAATTATAAATTAAAAGATTAAACATACGTTTTTGGTTCATTACGCCTCTCTCTTTGAACCCAAGTGCTCTTTGAATCCACAGTGCTACTCGTTGCTTTACAGAGGCCTTGACCTTAAGAAAAGTCACAAACCACACTACGGGCCAGCAGCGAGCCAACCGCTACTGCTCAGACAAGGGTGAGGAAAATGTGTATCCTGCTTGAAACAGGGCATTGCATGGCAAGGCAGAGCAGGAGGTTGAAAGGATATTTGCATGTGGGAATTTTCAGCAGGAGTTATACTTGGCTCTGAAATTAGGAAATCCAGTTTTGGTGTGAATTATTTCTGGTTTGCACCAAAAAAAACCCCAAAACCTCTTACCTCTCTGAATTCTGAAGCACTTAGACCAGCCTGGATTTAATAATGACGACTCATGAGCTGCACCCAGACCTTATCTCCAGCTACAGCACCATCGTGTCAGTTCAACTTCTGTCTACCTCTGCTGAAGAGAAACTGGAAGAGTAATAGCTGTGCGTTCCTATTTGTCATCAGGGAAAAATACACCCTTCCTTTTTTTTGCCCAACAAGCTAACATTATGAATTTAAGAGAAGAAAATTTATCTTATCAAGTATAATTACAAAATATGTTACCAGGCAAATGAAATCACCTTTAACTTACTGATTTTCCAATATTAACACTGTCATCATTTAGTCATCCCAAAAAAAGATACAGGATATACACAGATTTTAACGATGTGGAGAGACAACTTGACTGCAATCATTTGTATGTGACAGCTGATGACACCACATAGTATGTACACAGACAACTTAAATGAGAAGGAACGAAGGAAGAAAATATTGACATTTACAGAAAAAACTAAAATCCTGCCTGTTGAGCAGAATATGGTCATCCCTGATCAGGAACATTCAGCTAACACCAAGGAGATGAAAAGCTGAAATTTCGTTATAAGAAAAGGTATCTTTATTTAAAAAAAAAAATGCATGTGCAAAGCTGTGAACTTTTCATATAATTAAAAACAATAGCTAAGATTTAGCATCCTCAAAGAAGTAGAGAGAAACTCTTTTTCCTTAAGATATATCACTTGGATCATTATCAAACCCCAACATCATTATCTTGGTTGTGTTAAAATACATTCTGTCCCCGGTGTACATAATTCTGAGTGGGAATGGGCATAAAATCATTACAAAGAGGGAATGCTGCATATCTTTCTAGAGAAGAGGTGAGAAGCAGCCATTCCCCTGCTACTCTGCAACTTTAAAAAGCCGTGCTACTTACTTAGGCTTTTTGCAACGAGTAACGTGGGTTGCACAGATTATTTGATTCCATTAAGTCCAGCTTAAATTTCAAATTTCCATCTATACTCAATGGCAGAAGAAGATACATCCAGTCAAACATTAATTACTCCATAAAAATAATTGGCTTCCAGTGTCCTTCCAACAAATGAGGCTGAATAAAACTGCAGTAGGTTAACTCAGCTTTACAGAGCGCTCTCTTCCTCGGGTCAACAGCACCACCAGTGCCATGAATTCTGTTGACTTTTCCATTGCCCATGCCAAGTCCTCTGCACGCTCTCTCAAGGTGGTAACAATCTGTTCGTGTTTCTTATAGCACAGGAATCAAACATTTAAAAGGTGTCTGGAGACAAAGTCAAAGTCTTTGAAGACAGCCTGCTCCTTACGGGTCAGGAGAGCAACCTCCTCTGGAGGGGTAAGGATTGGCTTTTGTGATGTGAACTCTTCATCAAAGTTGCTGATGTCGGTGGGATCTCTGAGAGTGGGCACAAAAGGGGGCTTCAGCGTCCTGGCAAACAAGGCATCCCAATCAATTTCCTGTAAGAGAAGGACATGAACAGGCCAGATTGACACTAAGATTATTTATGAAATGTGAAAGCAAGAGGAAGGATTGCAGCCTCCCTTGCAACATGTCTGATTTCTACTGAGAGAGAGAATTGAAAAAAGGCCAGCATAGTGGGTACAGGCTGGGTAATACAGAGATTCCATACAGTCTAAGGCCAAGGGCACCAAGAAACAAAGTTACGGCTCAAACTATATTTAGGAAGGACAAAACCAAAGTGCAGCTGCGTCCAGGTGGATCTGTGGACCTCCCAGCAATTTCTGCTGACATCCAAGGCTTTTTTCTTACGCCAGTGCAAAGCCAGCCAGGGGCTATAAGGCTAATGACTTCTGGCAGACGGGTAACGACAAGGAGGAATGGCAACACTTTTGTCTGGAACCCTTGACCCAAAGCAAATGTGTCTTTAACCTCAATTTCTCTTAGGATTCATGTGTATCCTGCAAGTGCAGGTGCCATCAAATAGACTGGCCATCACTGCCATCACCAGACAGCATCTTTGACTGCTGCAGTTTGATTTAAAAAGGGATGTCTATCGATGGCTCAAAAGGTAGGTATATTTGTACACAGAAGCAGCCCAATCAGAAATAACAAACTGGCTCTGGAAGTTTACAGATCCCACAAAACACACGTGGGGGATGTCATTTCAAACACGAATTGAAACCCATATTCCTGAACACAGCAATGAGGTGCAACAGAGCCTAACACTAAGATCTCACTGGTAACTAATGGAAATAGGCCTCAGTACCAACAGAAAGCAAAATCACTCTCAGCTCAAACAAAAGAGATGAGGGGAAGAAATAAGGTGATTTCCTACCTTGAAAAATGCCTGGATTTTAATCTCTTCTGCATCTTTTTCCCCTGCTCCCAGTCTACGCTCTGGGCATTTCCGAAGCAGCTGCAGGAAATACCAGTTCAAATTAAACAACTGGAACAAGGATGGAGAGAAATAATGTTCCAGAGAGAAAAGCAAAAGGAAGGAGATGGACTGACCCCTCAGTATCTTCTCATCCTGCCTTTGCAGCAAGGCCATAAGCTGTTAGTAATAGCTCAGATCTGGTTCCTTGTAAACAACTTGCCAACATGAATAAGATACCTGCTCTAAACTGCATGAAGCATCTCATCTCAGCTGTGCACCTGTGACTGCTGGGTCACATTCAAAAACTGAATCGAGCCATCTTCACTGAATGACTCTGACATTCCTGCCCTTGGATAAACACTTCTCCATTTCAGAGTTAGCAGCAACAGGCCTCAGTAAGAAGCCTGCTTAGTCATCCCTGGACTCATGAATAGCACTCATGTAAAGAGAAAGGAAAAATATGTGTAAATTGTAAATGTTTCCTTAGACTGTGTGGGCAGCTCCAGATTATACACACAAATGCTATTCCATCCTAATAGAGTCCCTCTGGATCCACTTACACAGTAAATGCAAATTCCTCAGGCTCCCAGAGACCCATCAAGCCCATTACCTTACGGATTATAGAAAGCGCCTCAGACGAAAGGAATCGTGGATACCGGACTTCATCGTTGACAATGCTGTCAAAGACTTCTTCCTCATCATCTCCAGGGAACGGTGACTGCAATTGTGACATTTTATTATTTAATCCACATAGCACCAATTCCTCACTATTAAACAGGGATGAAAATAGCAGGGAGTTGTATGAATTAATTACTGTTTAGCAAGTACTATGAGTAAGAAAAATGTATTTTAAGTACTAATAAATAGTTGGCTACATTCAGCAAAATTTTGGCTTGGGTGGTCGAGTACTACCCTCCCCAAGACTGCTTAGTGAGAGCCTCTGAGAGGAAGGTGGTCTTACCTCACCAACAAGCATCTCATAAATGAGTACACCCAGTCCCCACCAGTCTACTGCCCGGGTATAGGAGATGTCTGTCAGGACTTCTGGAGCCAGGAATTCAGGAGTGCCACAGAAAGTGTTTGTGCGATCTCCAAAACCTATTCCTGTAGGAAAAGAACGCTTGCAAAATTCAGCGCACTTTGCCAAATGGGTCACGTGTGGTCTCCCCTTCTGAAAGCCACAGATTACCATTTCAGAGTCTAATGTTAACTGGGCAATGCTTGTAAATATCAATAAGGAAGTATGAAACATGAGGCCCCTAAAAATTCCAAATAAGAAATATACAGACAATACTTAAACAGCAAAACCATGGGAACTTCCTGCAGATTCTATTGCTCATTTACTCAAGTACATATTTTGTACTGGCTCCTTTGAGCAAAGGAGCACATTGTAAACAGCTTCATAAGTTTCCTGAAGATTAAAGGACAAAGTATTCTTTCCAAGTTCATCATGGCCAGACAGGTGAGATTTTTTTTGTTGTTTGGTTTCTTGGGGCATGTGCGTATGTTTTGGTTTTGGTGGGTTTTGTTTTATTTTTAAGATGGGAATGAATGCAAGTTACACACAGCCACCTCAGCACCTGTATTTGTGACTGCATTACTACAGCCCACATCCTAAACTGGTTCTGATGGTTCAATTTTGGCTTCACCAAAGTCACTCACCTTCCTTACACAATCCAAAATCTGCGATCTTCACAAATCCTTCAGCATCTAAAAGTAGATTATCCAGTTTCAAGTCCCTGCAGGCAAAGGAAAGAAAATGGTGGATGAAGCCTAAGGATTATCATCCAACCTCATTTTTTGCAAGAGGCAGAAACTCAATAAAGAGAATAAAATCTAAATTTAGTAAAGTTTACGCTTGGTTTAAATAATCTATTATTTGGAAGAGTCCCCTTAATTTATTGATACTTTCCTCTTAATGAAAGGCTCACAAAGCAGCTTTGAGCTGGGTGGGGCTTATTCATCTGGAGAAGAGCATCCCACAACAGCATGACAAATTACTTGACTTTCACAGTAAAAAAAAGAAAGCAGTGACTTACAGGTGCCCCCCTGAATGTATTGACATGTCACAGAGGATTAATCACCTGCAACATGTCAGATGAATAGCTTCTAGATGACTTTCTTTACTGTAAGCACGATGAACATGCTGATAGCAACAGGCGACGAGGAAAATAAAGACAGACAGAAAGATTAGAAAATCCAGCAAGATAGTGACCTTCAGACATACAGCTACAGGAAAATACAAACTTTCAAGTTGCTGAACTGTCTTTTACTTGATTCTTTGCTACATTACCTATAAACAATTTTCTTCTCATGCAAGAACTGGAG